GGGGGGGGGGGGGGGGGGGGGGAGGGGCGTGACAACACATGGAGGACGAGGGACTGTTAAACTTTGTTAAACTGTTAAAATCTGTTAAACTGATTAGCACAGTTGGTTGGTTTTCAAAATGAAGGACTGAGGCTGGTGTGTACAGAAGAATTTATTCACAGACCATAGCTGGAAAGTCTGCTCCTGGGCACCTGCACCTGAAAAAGAAAAAACAGCATTAAACTAAAAATCATGTGTGATGGCTTGAATTTCTATGCTGTCGGTGTCCTATAGCTCCAAGTTATTTTTCAGACAGTCATGCTAATCTTTAGTGAGTGTTATGACTGACAAAAGGTTGTAATGATCTTATCAGATTAGGTACCAAATTTCTTCTAAAGATTCCTCTGTAGCTATAGAACAGAGGTCCCCAACCTCTAGCTCCCAAGGCAACATATTGCTTGCATTCACAACTGCGTTTCTTTAGGCTGACAGGGAGATGCAATTCATCACCTACAACACACTAGTTGCTCAGTCTGTCATGCCTGTGGACATGCAAGAGGCCAAAGATCACCATATAAAAAAAAACTAATGTAAAATTGTCAGGAACATGCAAATAATAGGAATCAGAATTAGGAGCGTTAACCTCTGAAGTGGGAAAAAAAAGTCACCCACTGCTACTTATACAAGGTTAGCATCAAAACAGAGTGCCCTATGTATTGAGGCATATGAAGAAACCATAGAACATTTCCTTACCACTATTCACTTCACCTGTAACTGGGTAAACAGTCTTTGAAATGCAAATACTAAACTGTAGCAAGCTAAGTCAAAGCAACAACTAAGCTCAGCTTTATCAGAGCTAGCAAAACAAGTTCTAAAGCTCAGCATTAAGCACCATGTCTACAAAGGGTCTCCTAACTAGCTAGATCTTACTGACATATTAAGCATCCTGACTAGCGTGGAATGTAGTCAATATAGCAGCTCTAGGAAGTAATTTAAAATTCCAAATGTAGACAAAGCAGCAGATAAGAACCGCTGTTAAAGCTTTGGTTACACACACCTTTAGAAAGTCCCTGGCAAATGCATGTAATGCAGGGGGTTCAACACTTTTTTTTTTTTTTTT